CCGGTACTGGACACACCCCAGTGTCCGGTACTGGACCCACCCCGGTGTCCGGTACTGGACCCACCCCAGTGTCCGGTACTGGACCCACCCCAGTGTCCGGTACTGGACCCACCCCAGTTCCGGTACCGGACCCACCGCAGTGTCCGTTTGGCCGCAGGTGCCGGACATGGCCGAGATCCAGTCGCGCTTGGCCTACGTGTCGTGTGTCCGGCAGCTGGAGGTGGTCAAGTCGAGCTCGTACTGTGAGTACATCCGACCACCCATCGACCGCTTCAAAACCATGGACTTCGGCAAATTCGACGAGATCTACGTGAGTGGGGGAGGGGCAGCTGGGGGAGGGGCTCTGCGGCCATCGCTGGGGTTCTCTGGTCATCCTTGGGGTGTTCTGGTCATCATTGGGGTCTTCTGGGTCTTCATTGGGGTGTTCTGGTCAGCACTGGGGTGTTCTGGTCAGCACTGGGGTGTTCTGGGCCTTCATTGGGGTGTTCTGGTCATTCTTGGGGTGTTCTGGTCATCACTGGGGTGTCCTGGTCCATCCCCGGGGTGTCCTGGCCCATCCCCGGGGTGCCCAGGCCATCCCCGGGGTGCCCAGGCCATCCCCGGGGTGCCCAGGCCACCACTGACCGCTGCCCACCGTGCCCAGGACGTGGGGTACGAGCACGGCAAGGTGGTGTTCGAGGGGTGGAGCCGCGGGGACGTCATCGAGAAAATGGTGAAGGATCGGCGCTCGGCGGATTTCTACGAGAGCAAACGGATGGACGTGAGCGGGGACATTGGGGACATTGGGGACATTGCGGAGGGACACGGGGAGGTGGCTCCTTGGGGACACCCTGCCATGTCCCATCCTGCCCGTGGCACCTTTGTTTTATGGGGTTTTACCCCTGGGAGGCGTTTCGGGGAGCAGCTCCTGCCCTGTGTGTCCCCTGTGTGTCCCCTCTGTCCCTCGTCCCCTCCTGGTGCCCTCCTGTCCCTCCCCAGTCCCTTCCTGTCTCTGCCACCCTGTTTGTGTCCCTTTCCCTGTCCCCCTTTGTCCCCCTGTCCCCTCTCCTGTCCCCCTGTCCCCTTTTTCCCTTCCTCATTCTGCTCCTGTCCCTTCTGTCCCCTCACCTCTGTCCCCTCTGTCCCCTCTGTCCCCAGGTGCTCACCTGTCCCAGTGCCGGTTTCACGGATCTGGCTGAGATCGTGTCTCGTATTGAACCGGCGCAGCCGTACCTGTCCGACGGCTACGGGGACGGTGAGGGGACAGCGGGGCTTTGGGGCCAGTTTTGGGGCTGAGCTTTGGG